ATTTACCCAATCTTTCTGGCAGATCACTTTCCACAAAAGTCTCTCTACAATAGGATTCAAGCTGTTTGAAAGAGGTTTGTCTTTAGTATTTACCTGAACTTTGCTCTGTACAGTATATTTTTCCTTTAGTGCCAACAAACGTTCCAGCCCCTGTTGAAAAGAAGCTTCCTCATGACATGATGCTGCCACCAACAAGCTTCACAATGGAGTCAACTGGGAGATATTCTGTGCTGGGTCTGACCAAAAGACCAAAAAGGTTCCAACTTGTTTTCAGCTGATCACAACATCTTTTGAGACATTTTTTATAAAATCACTCAGTTGCTTTGTTGCAAAGAATATGTCATTGGTTTTCAATTTTATCATACAAGTTACCTTTTGAAGTAACTGGGATATTGTTGACTCAAATACGATTCCTCCCATCTCACCATTGAACTCTATAGCTTTGGTGACATCCCTCACCAGTTAACTTCTTGTCCTGCTGCTCAGAATGGAGGGCAGCCTGATCAAAGCAGTGTCTGCGAAACATCATCTCATTTCTTGATGACTGAGCTTGAATCCTATTGTAGGGATATTCATGGATCTATGACAATACTTTTCCTTAAAGTACATTAAATATCATAAATCGTTTATTTAGTGATACCAAACTAACCCTTTAGGACAGAGGATACTTTTCATGCTCATTCATTTGCAGATTTTCAACACACTGCTTACATTTCTAAAATGGCAAATCTCACACTGTATATGTGGACTGTTGGTCACATTTGCATCAGACCATGTTGAAAATAAATAACATAAATTATATAAACAGCATCAATGAGCAGGACTTGTAAAATCCCTCAAATTATTTTAATTCTAGGAGTTTACTTAAAACAGTTACAGTTCCCATTACCTGTAAAGTTCTTTGAGTGGAGTGTACAGAAAAGAGCTATATTATTATTATCAGCAACAACACCAATAGCAATAATAGCAACAACAACAACAATAATAATAATAATAATAATAATAATAATAATAATAATAATAATAATAATAATAATAATAATGTCATTTGCCAAACCGCTTTATACCATATGGTGTCAAAGGAAGCCGGAGCATACCCGTCAAGCAACGAGCGAAAGGCAGGGACGGGCGCCAGTCCATCGCAGGGCAAGCGCAAGCCAGTCATACATGGGGACAGTTTGGAGGCCACGGTAAAGGCCAAGGGGGGAAATTTGGCCCAGACACCGGGATAACTCCCTACTCTTATCGAGAAATGCCCAGAGATCTTTAACGACCACAGAGAGTCAAGACCTCGGTTTAACGTCTTATGCGAAAGACGAAGCCTACTACAGTATAGGGTCCCCACCACTATGCCAGGGCATTAGGAGCCACACAGACCGCAGGATCCGAATCCCCCGCTGGTCCCACTAACACCACTTCCAGCAGCAACCATAGCTTCCCAGGAGGCCTCCCATCCAGGTACTGAGGTACTGACCAGGCTTAACCTGTTTAGGCTACCATGGGTAGCCAGTTGAGAGCTGCAGGGTGATATGGCTGCAGTCCATTAATAATAATAACAATAATAATAATAATAATACAAACATTACCGTTTAAAAATTTACACACAAGATTTGATTGGTAAATACGGAATAAGATGTGCATGCAAATGCAGTAGAATTCAACACTTACCGTTCTTGTCTGCCTTCTGTTGCTGTGTATGTCAATGGACCTTATCTGAATTTATGCAGTACGTCACACAGGAGTTATGAAACAAATCCTTGTTTACTTGTACCAGTCATCAACCTCTAAACTCTCTAGTATCAAACAATCTCCAATTGAGTTGTCCATGTACTTAATCAAAATATTTGACTACCAACAGAACAAACTTAAAATGAAAGGTTAAAATGTGGACTTTTTGTAAGTATTGATTTTTCTCATTTGTATTAAAGCTGAAATTGAGGCTTCTCTAAAGAGGAAAAAGAAGTAGAGGTATTTGTATTTTCATATTGTTCTGCTGAGTTTTTAAAATAAATCCCTAATGTTAGCTACTGCTAAAGAAAAGAATTAATGTCTTCAAGTAAAACAGCCATTTCCACTGCCATAATTAATTCTAAAATGTAATATTTACATTTTAGAATTAATTATGGTATATGTTGAAGGGATTCAGTGTCTTCATGGCCATGCTGAAGTTCAATCTTGATCTTTGCTGTAAATTCATGTGGTTAAACAATAATTATCAGGTCACTCTGACTCTTCTTTTTTTATTCTCTGATCCTGTTTTCAGAATTCAGTGACCTTTAAATCTGATTTACTCTTTCATTTCTGTTTGCACCATGCCCAGAAAATGCTTAAACCTAGTTCCTTGACAGTGTTCTCTGTATAGTAGTATTCACTAAAACATTCAATCAAAGTATCCTTAAAGGAAGAAACTGATAGGAAAAAGGAAACAAATATTGATATTGTATATTGTTTATTTTTGAAGTTAGAACACACAAAACATAGTTGTGAATTAGACTTGCATGGAAATGGACACTCAAGGGCAGAAAATGATTGGCAGGAAATGTCTGGTGAAACAGCAACACAGATACTGTATCTGAAGTAAGACACAAGCAGTATCTGTAGCGCTTGTACATCAAGTCACAGTATCCTTAGCAACCAGACTGACTTTATAGCCCAGCTCCAGCAGACATGATTGTATGCTTTGTGGTTTGAAAATGGATGGGTATTTATCAAGACATTGCTAACTTCAGCAAGATGTGTTGCAGCCACAATGGCTGACGACCATGGCAATACTCTACCTTCATCGCTGGGGAGACAGAATACACAAAGCACCAGGCTTCAGTGAAACATCACTCAGTACCAGGTGCTCTGGAGTATTTCAGCCCTGCTTGGTTCCTTCTCAGTGATCTGGCATTGACATAGACATGACTTTACTCCTGAGCCAACTTACAGTATCCCAGCAGACCCCTTACTATTCCTGGTTTCCAGTCTCAGTGCTTCTCCTGGGCTCCTCCACTGTGGAGTCAAGGGCTTACTAGCTTAAAGTGAGGTATAGACCTTTATATTTTAATTCAAACAGAAAGCATTGTTTGCTTTAACCAGTCAAATCCAAATGAACAAATATTTAAATCTATTTCCGAATTGATTTTCAACAGTTTTTCTATTTTACTGTAGGATTGACAATTTTTCCCATGAAATGTATGCTCCCTGTTTCATGATTACTGATTACAAGAAGGAAAGGACGATTTAATTTTAAGGATCGAGGCATGCTGTATGGAACACTTTCTATACCAGTGACTCCTGTTGCTGTAGTTCCTATTTCATCCACATCTAGTGTTGCCTTGTGGACAACCTGAAAAATATCACACAACAGGCATGTTATTTCACAGAGATGCAGCATAGAAAATATCCAACATTGCTTACTGTACATTTAACTATTTCTGAGATAGGTGGAAAATATTCTGCATTCATTTTAGATAAAATGGCACAATTAACATTATTTTATTTTGGACAGATTAAGCACAAATGATCACAAATAATTGCAATATCAGAGACACATTTTATACAGTATCTGTGTTCTACAGTACTAACAAGCTGAGTACTGTACTTTTGGTAACAAACTAATCTGAAAAAATATTTTAAAATGAAGACAGTACTGTACGTCTGATCATGTGGGTATGCATTGAATATCCCAAAGCAAAAAGTGCAGTGGTTCTAGAAACATACCTACTTATGCATTTAAGTACAAGTATCATAAATTAGGGTTTGACCTCCTCCACAATTTTCATTTAAAGCTTCTTTAAAACAAGTGTCCCTGAACACTGGAATTTTGCATGTTCCACAGAAAACATTTGTGCTTGTGATATTAATTAATGCATCAATTCCCACTGCAAGCTTTTAATTCTGTTTTACACATCATAGAATCATGAGCAGGTAACTTTCACAATTTGACTTTACCTTAGAAACAGCAATAGTTACTATTCCAGAAAAGTTTGCATTCGACTAAACATGTCCTTCATTCCCATTTCAGACAGGATGTCCTGCAATGAATAGGATGTTGAAACTGAAAACTTGGGCACACTTACTAAATACCATCAACAAAAATAAATAATAATTAGTTAATAGTTATTACAGATTATGTTCACCAACCCACAACTATTTATTGTATTTCTATGAATTGATGCGAGATTCTTGTTTATAACAAAAGGACCAACACAATACTTCATTTATTAATAATATACATGCCTACATAGAAATATTTATTAATATTCTATATAACTTCTTCAGTATTCTTCTGGGGAATTTTGAGAGTCAACTGTTTACCTGGAGGTACGACGTTTGTACCAAATGGGTGTTTCTATAGATACAATGCTTATTAGTCCTAAAATTTAACTCAAAAGGCAGGATTTAACACATTTTGGGTAATTATTCTGATGAAAACTGTTTATTTAACTTCTTATATACTTTGCTTTACTGACAAAAAATATTTTCTTGTGTTGGACAAGACGAACTCATGAGCTATTTTTTTATATTATGAACTGGATGAGTGTGTGTGCATTATACTTTAATGAAAATTATATTATTGTAAATTCACTAAATTCTTCAATAATACTTTGCAAAATGTTTTTCCATGTTTCTGAATGTATATGCATTTTTTAAAGTGAATATTCACACTGAGCACTTCCAAGGCTGTGGAGTTAAGTATTAATAAAACCTGTCAATGAAAATGAAATGTTTACTCCATATCTACCCCACCCCCCCAAAGGTCACACTTGGTGGTTGCACATATGGTACCAAAACCAGTAAATTGTGAGTCTTTTTGGAAAATCTCTACAAATTCTGCAAATTGGAATAGTGCATTTTTTGCCTAGTCTCCTTTGCAAACTTTCTCAAACTTGATCGAGAATCACTGATGGACAGCAATTTTCAAGTCCTACAGATTTTCTGTCAAATTTCAATCAGGATGTTATGTCGTGCACTCAAGGACATTCACATTGAACTTTTGTCCTGAATTTAATTCTTTAGCAGAATAAAGTAGGGTTTACTCTAAGACATTGTTTGTCTGGCTGCAGACCTGGCTCAGCTTTGAAGGACATCCTGAACTAGGAAGTGAAAGGGTCATACAATGCACCTTTCATTTTGTTAAGATCCAGCTCATCCAAGTC